TTGCATGCTTGCCAGGGATGCAACATTCCGTCTAAAAAATAAGTTTGACTTTGAATCGTATTTTACTTTGTCCTCAAGTTCTTAAACATCTAGGAAAACCAAAATGTCACATTCTTAGTGGTTCATGTTGCAATACATGTAAGCAATGTTTGCCAGTTGATACTGATGAAAAATTAAGGGTGCATTCCTTTGGGATGATCTGGATCAGGATCAGTGATCAAAGATCATTTGGATCAAAGTACATGTTCATCAAACGAACTGACGATTCGGACCAAAGTGGATCCATTGGTTCCTTTGATGCACCATGATCTTGATCGCTGTCAATCCAGATCCAAGTCACCCCAAAGGAATGCACCTAAACTTATCAACTTACAAAAATATTTATCAGCTGTCTTATCAAATATTGAATTGCAGCCACAATAATAATAATTTGCTTTGTCCTTTCCTGACAAATCAGCATTTGGCAGCTACAACATGCTCAAATATTAACAGTCTTTTATTGCTGGAAGACATCATTTTGAATATATATGTGAAATTTACCCAAAATGATGACGGAGAAAGGTACTTCTTCAAGTTGATAAGTTAGTTTTAAAATTATGCATTCAGTCATTCATGTAATATCTCCCAACTGTGCACGCGTAAAGAATAGTACTGTAAGTTATTCATTATCACGACAAATGTGACTTACCCTGCATGACTTGGAACATTTTGTCTTGGTTTAGAACTTGGCTGCTGTTAAAGAAAAAAAACAATATTGTTGATACTGAAGGCTGTTTAAAACTTACTAAAGCCCTAAAAAGCTAAAGTTGCTAAAATTCTTCTTTCTCAGAGTACCAGATGAATGATAGGGTATCAGACTGTTAAGCACTTTAATTGGACTTCAGAGGATTGTGTGGCATTTTGAGCACTTAAGGACATTCCCACTAATTGTTTCTGCACATCCTTACTGCACGTAAATTCACACGCCACATCATGTAACGAGTGCATGCTAAGTAATAAAATGAACATTGATAGGGTAGATGGCCATTGCTATAGCTTTGCTTTGATTTAATGATCTTGGACATTCGGTGAGCCCTATTTTTCTTCTGATGGATCATTTTCTCGACCGATTGTCTACGTTTAGTGAAAAAATGAAGAAAATCTATTGATTAGAAGTTTAATTTTTTTGCAAAAATTATGCAACATCAAACTCCGTTCTTTTTAGCTCTTTGTTTATTTGTGCGGCGGTTTCAAATGCCTCTTGAAGGATTAAGTTTTGTGAAAATGTTGGCAAAACTTGGAATTATTTACCCAACAGACCCACTTCTACAAGATATGACTAAGATCGTTTGCCTCCGTTAACTCACCTTCGATATTTTTAACTATAAACCCTTGTAGACCATGCTGAATTACACGCACCAATTTTTCAAAATCAGGGTAGTTTTCCGCATGCTTTATCTCTGAAATGAAGTTGGTGACCCCCAATTTTTTTGCCTTTCTAACAGGTAACTCACTATCTGACTGCAGTGAAAATTTAGAAAAAAATCTATCGACTGGAAAATTTTTGTACAAATGTCCTTAACTCTCACAGTGCCTCTCTTTACCAATGGGAGGTTAATGGCAAACTCTCAGCAGAATAACCTAACAAAATACTGAGTGGAACCAGCAATGAACAGGCATCCTGTCCATGTTACAAAAACAAGTTGCTAATTAGTGAAAATCTTGTTTGAAGACCATGTTTGCTTTGAAACATATTTAAAATTACAAATCATTCAGATTTTAATAGCTTCTCCAGACTTGTAAAAAATGTGAAGTGAACAAGTCCTTTGAAAGTTGCTCCGTAATGCATTGCTGAACATACTTATAACTTCATGTACAATGTATACCTATGGATTGATTCATTAGATTAGTTGTGTATGCAGATTACCTATCCATACCCCTCTTCATTCAGTGTAGGTTATGCTGAAGATCTTTGTCGTGATTGGTGCGCACATTTATATTTGCTGGTGCTCGCGTATAAGTGCTTCACTACACAAGATGAATTGGCGTGACAACTATGAGTTCTTAACTTCTCTTTATCTCCTATATCCTCGCTAAAAACTGGCATCTTATGATCCATTTGAGTCCAAATTTTCCCACCTGCGTTTTCTTAATGTTTTTATTATACTGTAGCATTCTTCAGCATGGGACTTTGGCCGCTTGCCAGGCGCATGGCATGGAATTTAAAAAGCCTTGGTGTATCTTTGGCGTGGAAGTCTTGCAGAATGCACCCTGGTGGGCATCTCAAGTATATGAGGTCACAGCACCCCCCTCCTTTGTCCAAAGGTGCACGTATGCTAATGCCCAAGGGTACACAGTGGATTGAGGAATGGCTTAATTTAGTAATTCACAATTCAGTTTTTCGGAAATTGGATTATATGAGGCCCAAGAGTTTAACCTGAAGGCAACATGTAAGCTTATATCAGCCTCAATAAATTAACCACACAATTGCTGAAATTATATAGATGTGTCAAACAACTTATGTGATACCTTGTGAGTTTCTTCTGGAGTTTCATGCACAACACTGTCATCCTCGTCTCCCATCGTATCATAAAAACTACTAAGAGCCAGCTAGAATAAAATAAAACACATCAAAACTGACGGATCGACAGAAAGGAGGAAGTAAAACATCAGTGCCATTAGTCAGCTTATTGTGCTTGTGTTTAAACACAGAAACCCTTTAGAAGATCCCCAAAATACACTAGATTACTCACATTGAGATCCCAGCCAGATGATTCCAAATAAAACTGAGCACGCTCGACATCAACGTCAGTCACTCCGGAAAATTCAGCGACAAGCCTATTTCTTTCACCTTCGTCCGCCATGTTGAATAGAAGATCACGTGGGAGAACGCGATGGAGACTGGGTACCGAAGAAAAGAACCCTTCCCTTCGACGCCTGCCCACCCCTTTTAGCAAAGCGAGTGTTTCCTGTGTTTTTCGTGTTGGTGTGTTTGGTTCCTTGATCTCTCGTTTTACCACGGCTGTTTGGATGCCACGCACGGAATAACGACATAACAGCGATCTTTTATGTGGAGGAAAACGTACTTAGGGTGATTTAATCACGACGATGTTCTAGGTTGTGAAGCAACTGTTTGTAATCGGTGTTTCACTTCAGAACGATAAGATTTCCACGACGGATATCAGTATGAACCGTTCCAATCCTAACCAGCTCAGGTACACTGTGACTGATCACTTGCTTACAATCAGAGTTTTTTTTTTTTTAACACTGCTAATTGCGTTATATTACTGTGCCATTTCAGTTGTTATCTTGGTCGCCTAACTCGGGACAGAACTACGAAATATTTGCTAGGAAAGAAACCTGGTACATATCTGATACGCGACAGCTCGTCAATTCCTGGAGATTTTGTTCTTGCTGTGAGGTTAGTGGAATCATAGCAGAGTTTTGTGATGCTTTAAACGATTTAAAATTCTGATCACATTGCTCTTTTATAATCAATGTCATTTCAACGATCGCCAAATATACGCTTAGCTAAGCAAACTTCGCACATTCTTGCGCTGATGTCAAAGATTCCATCAGACAGCAAGCTTCTATAGAGTGGCTTCGCTGTAGCGATAGATCGAACATTACCCTTTCATAGTTTTAAACTTTAATGGTTTATAGCATATCTGTGTGGTCAGAGTTTTAGGTCATTTATTGTGTAATTACTGTAATTACAAAGAAAGCAAATTTTATCGTGAAATCTAAATTTGTTGTTCGCTGCACGTCTAGTACTTAATGAATAACTGTTAAACGACGCTCTCGTGGAGTTTAAATTCACTTAAATACATTAAGAGTGATTGTCATTTTGTTATATACTTGTCAAACTACAAACAGTTTGTTCCTGGAAGTTGTGATCTTAAATGAAATCTTGGATCTGTAAATTTGCATTGAACGAAAGTGAATTCTCGTATCTGTGAACATACGGTCAGATGAAAGTGCAAGTTTATTTGTCAACACTGGGATTTCGTTGTCATTTCTTGTGGTCAGTCTTCACAAGCCATGTCCCTATTAGAAATCTTCTCTCAAACAAGCAAAAACTCTACATCACTTTGTACATCATGTATATGCCACGTTTTCCGTTTTGTCTCAGGAAATAATCACAGGCATAAAGTTTAAAAACAGGAAGTAACTAAATGGAAATGGTAGTGATGGGATGACATTGGTGTGCACGTTTTGCTAACATTATTGACCGGAACCCTTATATTATTACCTGTATCTGTTTGTTTTCACATCTCAATAAGCCTGGTTATGAAAATAACAATAATTAATAGAATTAGGGATAGGGTAGTTACATGTCAAACTCAATTGTCTGGTGATCAGCTGTTATTATTCGTAAAAGGCATGTTTATCACGTAACTTTTTTTTTTTTTAAAGAACAGCTTCTGTCAGTGCCTTTAAATAGCATTGTTATAATTCTACTTGTCGTAACAGATTTGTCATTATTTAAAACTGAAGCACAGGATAATGTATTTCTTGAGGTTTGATTGGCTTAGTGGCCATTAGATAACGGTCATAATACCATGCTTGACAAACATGGTTGACTAATATCATCTTCCAGTCTTTTTTTTTTCCCAAAAAAAAAAAAAAAAAA